GTGTGTGTGTGTGTGTGTGTGTGTGTGTGTGTGTGTGAATGCAATCTTGATGCGAGCGCGCGTGTCTGTCCTCCATCATCTCCACTCAAAGTTGCCTCCACCACTCACCTTGCCTTGGCCTCGCACGTCCATGCACCCATCCCATCGCGTGTGTGCTTCATCGCCGCAGACGGAAACTCGTATGTGCTCAACTTTGGCGGTCGCGTCACACGGCCCTCCGTCAAGAACTTCCAGATTATCCACGAATCAGACAGTGAGTCACGACAAGAGATTTTTTTTTGGGGGGGGGAGGGAGTGTGTGTGTGTGTTTGTGTTTGGTTGTATGTTTGGTTGTGTTTGGTGGTGTGTTTGTGTTTGTGTGCGCTTTTCATTGCCTCGTGAACGTTCAGCCGGCATGTCTCACTCGTTCTGTCCCCGAAACAAACACACACACACACACACACACATACACACACATGAACGCGTCACCGTGTTTGCAGCGGACTACATCATTCTGCAGTTTGGCCGCGTGGAGGAGCACGAGTTCACCATGGACTACCAGTACCCAATGTCCGCGCTCCAGGTACTCGGCAGAGTACATGCGTGTGCTCGTGTTGTGTGTGGATTGGGGGTTTGGAGCAGGGTGTCTACTGTGTGGTTGTTGTCGTCTACCGTGGTTGTTGTTATCTGTGCTGCTCACTCACACACACACACACACATGCAGGCCTTTGGCGTGTGTTTGACCAGCTTTGACGGGAAGCTGGCTGTTGAATGAAGGCTGACTCAACGTTCCACAACGAAACCATCACCATCACCACCAGCACGCTTGCTTGCTTATCTTGCGCCACAGACACACACTGATGCTTCCCTTTCGTTTGCTTTTCTTCTGTCCATTTTCCAATGAAAGCCAACAAGCAAGAAAGTGAGAGTGAGAGAGGGTGAGAGGGTGTGTGTGTGTGTGTGTGTGTGTGTGTGTGTGTGTGTGTGTGTGTGTGTGTGTGTGTGTGTGTTGAGAGGAAGCGTTAATGCAAATCACACCCATTACGCGCATTCGTCATGTGTGGTGGCGAAGTGTCCCCTGATTGAAGGTCCTACTTGCTGTTTGTCAGTTTTTTTGGGGGTGCACTCGTTCCGCGCATTCCGAATGAACGTATTGAATGGATGCTCCAAACCCACCACAGACAGCATACAACTGCAACGACAGCACCAACCCCTTGCCTTACCCCGAACCAACCAACCAATCAACCAATCAACCAGCCAACGCTTCTTGCTATCATCCCCAACAGCACAACACACAGACAGACGAAGGAACATCAACCAACGCACAGCTGTCAAGGCAGCGACAACAACAGCCAACAAGCCAACAAGAAGATGGGAGCGTGGGTGTTCTTCGATGAGCTTGTGCTCTCCGGTACGTTGCTCGACGGCTTGTCAAGCACGGGCGCATCAACCATGTGTGTACGTGTGTGTGCTGTTGTTATCACTTTTTTTTCTGCTCGTAGCTTCCTGTATCATCCACCCAACAGCTCGGCTCACTCAACACACACACACACACACACACACACACACACACACACACACACACACACATGCAGTCATCGTGTTGGTGGCAGTGGGGTTCTGTGTCATTAGCGGGATTTCCATTGGTGTGAAGCACAAGCTGAAGCACACACTGTGGACATGGTCTCACCTTGGACCCTGGTGGTACATCGGCGGGCTAATTGTTATTGGCGTCACCTCCATCGGCTTCCAAAGGACAGGCACCGCGACCACCGCATGCAGCGTAGGTGGTGTTGATGTGTTTTAGGTTGCTGCGTGGAGTTGATGTTGGGGCGCTGAGCACCACGCCGGAGGGGGGATGCACCTGCGATTGCGGGTCTTTGCACAATGTGCTCTCATCCACACACACACACACACACACACACACACACACACGTACACACACACACATGCACGCACACACACACTCACACACTCACACGCTCACGTTCACACACACTCACACACTCACACGCTCACGTTCACACACACTCACACACTCACACTCACCCATACACCATACACGCACATGCACACGCGCAGATCAATGGGGCGTTCATGTACATTGGCGTGGCCATTGCGGCGTTCTCGTGCCACCACTTGCTGGTGCATCACACGCTGTCGTGCGTGTGCGCGCAAACCTGGGCCCCGCCAGCGTGGGCGGCATGGCTATTTCGCCACTTTGTGCTGCTGCACCACGTCATCACATGCGTCCTGCCCATCTTGCTGGCGGCCGCAATGAATGCGGTGGATCCGGCCGTGTTCGCCACCGCAACCACGTGCTCCTTCAACACACGCGCTGGCGCCGCCTTCATTGGGCTGGTGCCCCTCTTCTTCGTGGCACTGAGCATGGTGCTGCTTGTCGTCCTGCACATGACCCGCAGCACGACCGCGGGCTGGGTCAGCCGCAGCCACGCCGCCATGTATGCAGTCCTTGGCAGCTTGCTTGCGTTGCAAATCGGCACCATTCACGCCCTCAACAGCACGCCCACGTCAGAGTGGCAGGTCATTCACATCACCGCATTCATCGTCCAATCGGTGCGTGTGCTTGTGTTTGCTGGTGTGTGTGTGTGTGTGTGCTTGAGTGTGTGTGTGTGTGTTTGAGTGAGAGAGAGAGAGAGAGAGCGAGAATTCATGTGTGTTTGTGTGTGTGTGTGTGTGTGTGTGTGCTGATGTAAGCAGCAGCGTCTACGTAGCTGTTTCGATGCCTTTTGTGTTGCTGCTTATCACCGTGATTTTTGACAACCGTTCTTGCCTTGTGTTGCACAGTGCTTGGTGTTGGTTGTGTCCACCATCTGGACCATGGCGCCCGTCTCCCGTCACCAACAGCGCGCGTACGTTGCTTGCTTGCAAACACCCACTGTTGCAGCATGAATGTGGTTGTCATTTGAAATCAACGTCTGTCACTGCTTCATACACACTCAAACAAACACACTCAAACACACACTCTCAAACACACACACACACACAAACGCACTCAAACACACACTCTCAAACACACACACACACACACACGCAAACACTGTCTCTCTCTCGTTGACGTTTCTTGTTCACAACTTGCTTGCATGCATGCGTGGCCACGTGTACGCCTGCAGGAGCATTGAGGGAAAACGAGGCGGTAAACGCAGCCAGCACACGTCTGCTGCTTCAGTGGATCACCGCACAACAGCCGTGGGCTCACGTCAGGCCTCATGTACGCTTTGCAATCCTGAGCTGCTTCCCGTAGACTTTATGTTTCACTCATGTTTGTTGATGAACAGGTGTCTGTGGGCATTTGTGATGACTCACACGCGCATCACTAATCGCACACACACACACACACACATTGTTCACTCACTCACTTACTCACTCACTCACTCACTCACTCACTCACTCACTCACTCACACACTCATTCACAGATTTGATGGCCAACAACGGTGCGCCAGAGACGAACGACGATCTTCCATTTGAGTGGGACGACGCAGCGTCCACCCCCTCGTTCAACAGCAAACTCAGGTGTGCTAAGAGACCTACGTTGCAGTCATGTTGTTCGTTACTTGTGCAACTGTTGGTTTGTCATGCCTGCACCCGCACTTGTTGCCGCGAAAACACACACACACACACACACACATACACACACACACACACACACACACACACACACACACACACACACACACACACACACACACACACACACACACACACACACACACACACAGACGCCCACTTTTGTGACAGCGCCGAACCGGCCGCCGTATGAGAATGTGGCGTGTGGCTCTGGCCTCAGCCATCACATTGACGGGTACACGCCCATGTCCACCCCGAAACCGATGCCTGCTGTTGGCCCCCGGCCCGTCGCACCACCAAAGAAGCCTGTTCGCCGACACCGCGTGAAACAGCAGCAACAGCAGCAAATGGGTGTGCAGGGCCCTGAATATGCGTCGTCTCCACTGCATGCTGAAGAGCATTCAGACGGCGCCGTGTACTATGCAATGAACGAGCTGCCGCGGCCACCGCCAGCAGCAACCGCGTACGCAGGAGCTGGGACAGCAGCAGCTCAGCAGCAGCACGCGGGCGGGGTGGCACTATCGCCTTATGTTCCGATTGAGATGACGCGGCGGGATGCTGCGGGTGTGCGGCCCATTCACCTCCCACGCCCCGCACAGCAGAAGCCGCTCGTCATCACCGAGCGCATGTCGCCCACAACCAGGAAACACCAGCTGTAGCGCAACTTGTAATGTATGACGAGTGAGGGCGAGGGGGATGAGGATGAGTGAGATGAGGGTCTGCTTGATTGAGTGATTGAGTCTGTCCATGTGTCTATGTGTCTGTACATACAAGCAAACGCGTGAGCGTGTGTATGATGTGAAGGGAGACGGAGACGGTACATACAAGCAAACGCGTGAGCGTGTGTATGATGTGAAGGGAGACGGAGGGAGACGGGGACACTGAGACAGGGAGAAGGAGGCAGGGAGACGGGGACAGGGAGATCAACCTTACGCACACACACACACACACACACCATCACACAGCCATCACACACACACACACAACCATCACACACCATCACCCCAACCCCGCGTGCCTTGCCAACGAGCGAAATTTGGCCATATCTTTCAATGAATGCTTTGTTGATGCGGGAATACGCAACAACGCAACGCGGAAAAAGGGCCACGCCCAACAAACACACACGCACACACGCAAGCGAAGAAAGCGAAGAACCCCCCAAGACGCCATTTCCCGCACGCCTGTTGTGACGACCAATACCGCGAAGCAAGCGAAGGCACGGGAACGTCTTTGCGCCACTCACCACCATCATCAGCATCGGATACAGCACGCCATTTCTTGAGCTCCCCGACCTTCTCTCTCTCTCCACAAGAACACCAACACCCAGAACAACGCGCGCGTGTGTGGACTCGAGTCCCCTCCGAAAAGTGCTTGCTCACCACACAAGAACACCCGCGTTTTGCCTGCAAGAAGCAAAGCAACCACAGCAACCACAGCAACCACAGCAACCACAGCGAAACGAGCACCAGACGAGCAGCAGTCTTCACAGCAGCAGTCACCGCAACACACTCCCACGCAGAGGGTTCTTTCTTTTTGCTGTCTCCGAGTGTATCTCGCCTTGACCATGTCCAGCGTGTCGCCACAGCTGCAACAGCTTGCAGACAGTCACAAGCACACGGTCAACTCGTACGCGTCCTTCAAGAACAAGGACGAGCAGCGCAGGGCCGCATCCCCCGACTCTGGGCTTGGTATGGTTTCCTCCCTCAACATGAGCAAAATGCCCTTCCTTTGCTTGATTGCTCTCGTTGACACTGCACCTTACAAAGAGTACTGGTCGTGCCTTGATGACAGTTGAGAAGAACTCACCCAAAACGTGCGCCTCTGCTTGACACTGCGTGATGGACGAACAGCGTCTCCGGCTGTTCGGCAACGTGCGTCTGTGCAAATGGACAACTCACAGCGTCAGCGGCAAACGCCGCAGCAGCTCCGGCGCACACGGTCCACCCCGTCTCGCCAGCACTCCCGCCGCAGGGTATGTGTGCGTGTGTGTGTGTGTGTGTGCGTGTGTGTGTGTGTGTGTGTGTGTGTGTGTGTGTGTGTGTGTGTGTGTGTGTGTGTGTGTGTGTGTGTGTGTGTGTGCGTGCGTGCGTGCGTGCGTGTGCGTGTGAATCACTTGTAGCCCCAGCCCTCCTTTTCGTTGCATAGTCTGCTGAATGTGCTCATTTTTTCATCCGTTGCTTGCGTTCCAACAGCGGTCATCGCTGAGCACGGTGCCGGATGAGCTGCCGGACACGCTTGAGCGCCTGCCGTATGTGCGCCAGCGCCAGGCTGCAGAGGCAAGGCGCAAGCGATACCTCCACGACCAGCTCCGAAAGGTCATTGAGCATGCACACGTCTGTGTGTGTACGTGTGTGTGTGTGTGCGTGTGTGTGTGTGTGTGTGCATGTGTGTGTGTGTGTGTGTGCGTGTGTGTGTGAAGGATTTGGAGTGTTTTCAGTGTGCGTGTTCTCTGCCGCTCACCGTGGGTTGTTTGATGCGCAGATCACTGCAGCTGAGCGGGAGGCGCAGCTTCTCATTCAGAAACAACGCCGTCAAATCGAGCTGGCAAAGGTGCACATGTATGCACAGGGTTGCACCTGCATGTGTGCGCGTGATTTTGCTGTGATGTACGAACAGCAAGACCACCCCACGTTCTCACTACTTCCTTTTGCTGCTGCTGTTTCTTGCACAGGACACTACCATGCGTGAGCGCGCCTTGCGCAAGAAGGAAGAAGAGGACGCACGCGAGATGAACCGCATCAAGAACCTGGTATGCGCGTGCAAAGGGTGTATTGCTGTGTTGTGTGTTGTGTGTGTCTATGTTCTGTGTGTTGTGCATGTCGTCGATTGTTGCTCTTACCAGTACTATCTCTCACCCTGGTTCCCTCCATTTCTGCTTGCGCACACATTACGTTTGTCAGGTGATGGAGAAGCACGAGTCGCGCCAGCGGCGGCAGGAGCTGCTGAAGAAGCACCAGATGACCAAGCGTCAGAAGGCGCTCGAGGAAAAGCACCAGACCGAAGAGATGGTGGAGGAAGGTGCGCCTACTTGTGTGTGTGCGTGTGCGTGTGCGTGTGTGTGGTGGATGTGTGTGTGCGTCCATTCATACTCCTCGTGAGCCTGCGACGTGCCAAACATTGTTCCATCTGTTTCCTATTCGTCCCTGTGTGAGTCGCTTCGCCTGCTCATAACTTTCCCCATACTGCTTTCATTATTTCCCCACCGCAACACTACCGGTTGCAGCCCAACGCAAGCGCGAGCGCGAGCTGGAGGAGATGCAGCGTCGCCGCGCCCTTCAGGCCGCCGAAGCAGAAGAAGAGCGCGCTGCCCGCGAACGTGCGTGTTGGCTGTGTGCATGCGCTATGCTTGTTGGGTTGTGGATTGTGTATGCTGGCGCTTACAGCGCGTTAATGTGAATGTTTATGTGAATGCTTGTGTACTTGTGTGTGTGTGTGTGTTTGTGCCTGCAGGCAAAGCCGAGCAAGAACGGCTGCAGCGCCTGAACGAAGCGCGCAAGATGAAGCGGCTGGCCCAGGAGCGCGAGCGAAAGGTGTGTGTGTGTGTGTGTGTGTGTGTACGGGCATGTGTGTGTGCATGTGCATGTGTGTGTGTGTGCACATGCTGCGTCCCTCACCATTCCAGTCGCTCATTCCATTCCCCTTTCGATTGCCAGCTGCAAATGGAGGAAGAAAAGCGACTGCAGCGCCTGCAAGAACAGGAAGCGCGTGAGCGAGCCGTAAGTGGCATGCGCGACGTGTGCTTGTGCGACGCCCGTGTTTGTTTGATTTGCAGGGGCGTTTATCGGTGGTGCCACTGCCATCTCTCATCCTCACCACACACACATACTCATGCACGCACACACACACACACATGCACGCACGCACACACACATGCACGCACGCACGCATGCACGCACACACACACAATCTATGCTCTGCCATTGCAGGAGCGCGAGCAGAAGAAGAAGGAGCGCGAGGAGCTGATTCGGCGGCGCGGGCAGGAGGCGCGGCAGCAGAAGGTGGCGGTGAAGCGGCAGATCAGCCGGCAGCAGGAGCAGCTCAACAAGGAGATGGAGGAGAAGCGCGAGTGGAACATCAAGATGAAGGAGCGCTCAAAGGAGGCCCGCCAGGTGTGTGTTTGTTGCGTGTGAGCGAAAAAGTTGTTGTTGTTTCGCCATTTGCTTGTGAGCCGTTGCCTTGCCCTCATACCCAATTGATTGCACCATTCCCGCCAACTCACCACCACGTCATCCGTGCTCATATCGCTGTTCCTCACCACCAGCGGCAACTGGAGGAGCACCAGAGCCGCCTCCGCCGCGAGAAGGAAGAGGCACGGCGCCGGCAGAGCGAACTGCAGAAGGTATCAAACCGCTACACAATTGGTGATGAGGGTGTGCTTTCGTGCCAAACGTGGATATGGGTGTTGTTGCGTGAGTGTTGGGGAGCATTGGTGGAAAAATGCGCGAGATGCGTATTCATGGCTCTCTGCTTGCGCTCATCAATGAATTGTGGGTGGTTTGCAGATGATGGCTCTGCAGAAGCAGCAGGAGCGTGAAGCGATTGTTGCCGCGAAGAAGGCCGCCCTCGAACGCCAGAAGCAACGCGAGGTGCGTGTTATGTTGTGCTATGTGTTTAGATGGATGGAAGCTGTTTGAGTGCGAGCACTGTACTGTGCCTACTGTGCAGCAGCACCCTTGTCTGATCCGCTGAATTACTGTCTCACTACCACCACCGTCCTCTGTCCAACCCCTCGTTCCCCACTTCTTCTCCTTTTCGCTACGTAGGCTGCCATGCAAGAGGCTGCACGCAAGCGCCAGATTGCGCAGAAGCGCGCACGGGAGGAGGCAGAACGCCGCCTGCGCGAGGAGGAAGAGCAGCAGCGTCGCGAGGAAGAGCGCATGGAGAAGGTGGGCGACAGCATGGGACGATGTTTCGCGCTTAGATTGTGTGCAAGCTGGCTGTTGCAGCTGCTCAGTCGGCTCCTATTCTGTGTGTTCTCCCTCGTTTGTCTTGATGCTCGTCGTCTGTTGTTCGTGTAACCCCTCGGCCCTCACACATTCAATTTCTGCCTGCGCTGTGTCCTGCTGCTCACCCATGCAGGAAATCCAAGCCAAGGTTGCCAAGGCGAAGCGGGAGGCCGACCGCAAGATGCGCCTCCTCCGCAAGATGGAGAGCGCTGCCAAGGACGCTGCCACATCGTAGTCGGGTTGCGACACGTGCTGAGGGTTTTGCGCAGTGCGGTTGTGGTCTGTGTTCTGTGGCTGGTCCCTCCAGCCACCCATACGCTGCCCTCTTCCAGCCTTTACCTGTTCAAATTGATCCTTGTGCGTTTCTCCCATGTTTTTCCCATGATTTCCTGCTTTTTCTCGACATATCGAACCTGTACCTCAACTGTACCCTATTGTGCTGTACCGCAATGGTCTCACCTGTCATGTAATGTTGACGACATTCCTTCGTGTCACCTGTTCCTGTACTTCCTTATGGATTGCTTGCTTGTGTACTCTGTTCGTTGACGCTGTGGATCGTGGTGGCTTCTTTTCTCTCGTCTGTACATGTCTTGTCTTGGCCTCTACGTGTCTGGTGGACTGCTTGCGTGATGTGAGTGTAGGCGCTTCAGCAGCCGGTGCCGCCGTGCAAGCCAGCTCACCCACGCTGCTGCTGCACGCTTGCGCTCGCGCGCATGCATGTTCTTGTGTCAGTGTCAGTACAAACAAAATGGCGCGCGTGTGAGTGAGTGAATAAGTGGGTGTCTAGAGGTGTGTGTGTCGGTGGTGTTCAAGCTTCACTGACAATGCGTTGATGCACAACGACTCTCCAACGCAACCGACTCAACGCTCCAACGCAACCGACACAACGCGACCACGTAAACGCAGAAAAAATAGATGAAATTTTGCAGCAAGCTGGTTACCGCCCACAAGCTGTCACGTTTGACGTTTGACACTTCCCCGAAATGGTCGCTTTCGTGTCCATCTTTGAGAGTTGTCGCCAAGCCATTTTTTCCTGGTTTTCGCCCAGACAAAAAGTTCCTCATGCCAATCCAGCTTGCTTGTGTCGCCATTTCCACCCATCTCTTGTGCGTTTGGTCGTTTTTGATCCTTCCCAGCACCGCCAGCAACAAGCCCAGTCAAGCTACCAAGCAAACAACAACAACAACAACAACAACAACAACAACAACAACAAGCGGCAAGCAAGCCAGCAAGCCATATCTGCCCGCCTCCTTGGAGCGATTGCAAAGGTAAGTCAGAAGCACGCACGCGGTGTTCTGGTTTGTGAGCGTCCTCAGAAGTGATGGGGGGACAGGAAGGTGTTTGTCCTGATCAGGACAATTGCGTGGATCGAAATCCTCACCTCCGGACACACACACACACACACACGCACACACACACACACACACACACACACACGCACGCACACATGCACACACACACTTTTCTTTGAGCTCTCAGAATAATACACTGCTGCGTCATTATCACGACCATGTCCTGCTGTCCACGCAAGCCGGCTGACCGCGTCGCGCGCATGAACCCGCAGCAGCTGCGGAACTGGCTTCATGCAGAAGGCATGGCGCGCCAAGCCGACCTCCTCGACTCTGTCTCCGGTGGCGTCCTTGTGCGCAGCGTGTCCCAGGATCCTGCTTGGCTCACCACCAACCGCAACATGCCAGCGCATCTCAGCGAGACGCTGCTGGATGCGCTTGGGCTCGATCCCGCCCCTTCACCGAAAGCAGCAACGCAGCTCAAGCAGCTGGAATTGGACGCTCTTGACGCTGATGATCGCCCGCAAGCGCAGCCAGCTGGCCGTGTCGTGCTGACCGCGTGGGACGATGATGGAACGCCACAAGCTCGCGACAAGAATGCCACAACGCAGCCGGATGCAGCTGCGATTGGACCAGACTTGCAGCCCGCGGTTCTGGCGCTCGAAACCTGCGAACTCCCTGAGCCACCCGCGACAGACAAGTCCTCATGGGGCAAAGTGCTGCGCACGACAATCGGCACCGTCGTCCGCAAGGCCGTGCCCACAATGGTGGAGAAGGCAGCAGAGAGCCTCCCGTTTGGGTCCCTCGCCGTGACACTGTGCACGCAGACGGTGGCTCGCGTGTCCCAGATGAAGGAGAATCGAGCACTTGCGGAGGAGCTGGCCCGCCGGGCCCGCAAGATCTCCAAGCACGGCCGTGTGCTCCTCGTGTACTTCCAGGCAGAAGACAGCCCTGACGGGCTTGAGGAGGCGGAGGAGCTGAGCGAGCACACGTTCTGCTCATTGCGCCTCGTCGTTGACGCCCTCAAGCCCGGTGTCAAGAGCCGTATCCTGCGCTTTTTGAGCTGCGATGACATGGCAGATGGGTTCGCTGAGGCAAACAAGCGCATGATGGACGCCGTTGGGCTGGTCAACCTCATCTACAACAGCACGCAAGCGCAGCAGCAGCAGCAGCAGCAGCAGCAGCAGCAGCAGCAGCAGCAGTTACGGTCAACACCACCAGCAGCAGCAGCAACCGTGCGCTGGAGGTTCTGCATCAGTGCAAGGCACAAGCAGATGCCGTGGCGTTTTGGAGGGACAACTGCTTTGGCGACGAGGTCAGCGTGCTTCTCTTACTGTCAGCGCTTAAGAGCTGGGTCCGCCGATCTGGCCACGTCCGCGTGTCGGCAGCGCTCCACCTGGCAGACATCCCGGAGCTCTATGCCTTCTTTGCTGGCAAACGCAACCGCGAGACTACGACAGTGCACCACTTTGCCGACTTTCTCGGCGACGCAGCGTCGCTCGCCCATGCACTGTCGCCTTACCTGCCAGGCGATGAGAACCGTGAGCATGAGGAAGCAACAACAGCTACGACCACAGCAACTGCAGCAACAGCAGCAGCAACAGCACCCAAGACGGGTCAGCAGCCCCGCCGCACCCCAAGGCGCGTGACATCGCTTCGTCAACCAGCCTTCACGGCAGAAGGAGACGACGACACCGCCCTCAACGTCCACCTGCACGAGGCCCTGCAGCCTGTTGACTTTGGACAGGATCTGGTGAAGCATCAGAAGGCGTTTGCAGAAGGCACGCGCGAGTGGGTGTTTGACGCCTTTGAGACGTGGGCGCGGAAACCAAACACAGACCAGGACGCCCGCGTGTTCTGGGTGGAGGGAACGGGCGGGCTCGGCAAGTCGGTCATTGCCGCCCAGTTTGTGAAGCGGTACGCTGACGGTACCTCGTCGCACAGCACGTCAGACAGCACGCGACCGCTCCTCGCAGCCCACTTCTTCTGCAAGCACGATCACGCAGACCGCAATGACCCGCGCAAGGCCATCGCCACTCTCACCTTCCGCCTCGCATCGCAGCTGCCTTCGTTGCGGCAGAAGTTGCTGGACATTCTCAAGGACGAGGAGCAGCGGGACAACTTTGTTGCCCACGCGCACGGCACCAAGGGCAGTGTGGGTGACGCGTTTGACGTGCTGCTGGCCGACCCACTGCGCGAGGCACTCGACAACCGTGACACGCACGACGGCGACATCTTCATCCTGGTTGATGCGCTGGATGAGCTGCGTGATGGCAACAGCCGTGCACAATTCCTTCGCCTTGTGGGCAAGCAGCTGCCTTCGCTGCCACCGTGTGTTCGCATCATCGTCACGTCCCGCCCGGAGGAGGACATTCTTGTGTTCTTCAAGAACCTCAACCCGTTTAAAATCGACAAGCAGGATCGACGACAGCGCGAGGATCTGGAGCTGTACACGCGGCAACGCATCGTGGACGGCACCAGCCTACACAAGCTGTCGGACGCAGACAAGGACGCCGTTGTGAAAGCGGTCGTTGACAGAGCGGATGGCGTGTTCCTCGCCGTCGCCTTGGTGGCACGCGCCTTGGAGGAGCTGGACGAGTCTACCAAGCAGCCATTAAGGCCAGCGGATGTCGACGCTCTGCTCGCCAGCTCTGGCGGCAGCATCGTTGACGGCACGTACACGGAGACGCTGGACCGCATTCAGACGCGACTCAACCAGGCAGCCACTGGTGAGGAGGGCGTTGACGAGGAGGTGCTGGCAGCACTCCAAGGCACCCTGCACAACGTGCTGGCGGCGATTGTGGCTTCCCGCCAGCCACTGCACGTGGAGGATTTACACGAGCTGTGTGGTGGTGATCGGGTGCAGAGCAAGGCGCTGACGAAGCGGCTGCTAAGCGCGCTGTCGCTTCTCTTCTCCAGCAGCAGCAAGCACGACGTGATTGAGCCCCTGCACAAGACCGTCAACGACTTCCTCACGGACAAGGACCGCGCTGGCGCTCACTTTGTGGATGTGCGGGAAGGCCACGCCATCCTCACTCGTGCGTGCCTGCGCGTGCTGCAGGACCGAGGGCTTCTGAGCGGATCACGTGATCTGTTGGCGCCAGGCAGTGGCGTCCTGGACGAGCCCATTACCAAGTATGCGCTGGAGCATGGCCACATGCACTTGTACGAGTGTGCACGAGCGCTTGCAGACAAGGCAACAGGCATCGATATCAAATGCCCTCGACGGGCGGGCTCGGCAAGTCGGTCATTGCCGCCCAGTTTGTGAAGCGGTACGCTGACGGTACCTCGTCGCACAGCACGTCAGACAGCACGCGACCGCTCCTCGCAGCCCACTTCTTCTGCAAGCACGATCACGCAGACCGCAATGACCCGCGCAAGGCCATCGCCACTCTCACCTTCCGCCTCGCATCGCAGCTGCCTTCGTTGCGGCAGAAGTTGCTGGACATTCTCAAGGACGAGGAGCAGCGGGACAACTTTGTTGCCCACGCGCACGGCACCAAGGGCAGTGTGGGTGACGCGTTTGACGTGCTGCTGGCCGACCCACTGCGCGAGGCACTCGACAACCGTGACACGCACGACGGCGACATCTTCATCCTGGTTGATGCGCTGGATGAGCTGCGTGATGGCAACAGCCGTGCACAATTCCTTCGCCTTGTGGGCAAGCAGCTGCCTTCGCTGCCACCGTGTGTTCGCATCATCGTCACGTCCCGCCCGGAGGAGGACATTCTTGTGTTCTTCAAGAACCTCAACCCGTTTAAAATCGACAAGCAGGATCGACGACAGCGCGAGGATCTGGAGCTGTACACGCGGCAACGCATCGTGGACGGCACCAGCCTACACAAGCTGTCGGACGCAGACAAGGACGCCGTTGTGAAAGCGGTCGTTGACAGAGCGGATGGCGTGTTCCTCGCCGTCGCCTTGGTGGCACGCGCCTTGGAGGAGCTGGACGAGTCGAGCAAGAAGAGGAAGTCCCTCACACCGGCGGATGTTGATGCTCTGCTCGCTGGGTCCGGAGCCAGCATCGTTGACGGCACGTACACGGAGACGCTGGACCGCATTCAGGCGCGACTCAACCAGGCGGCCACTGGTGAGGAGGGCGTTGACGAGGAGGTGCTGGCAGCACTGCAAGGCACCCTGCACAACATGCTGGCGGCCATTGTGGCCTCCCGCCAGCCGCTGCGCGTGGAAGATCTACATGTGCTGTGTGGTGGTGATCGGGTGCAGAGCAAGGCGCTGACGAAGCGGCTGCTAAGCGCGCTGTCGCTTCTCTTCTCCACCAGCAGCAAGCACGACGTGATTGAGCCGCTGCACAAGACCGTCAACGACTTTCTCACGGACAAGGGGCGCGCTGGCCCTCACTTTGTGGATGTGCGGCAAGGCCACGCCCTCCTCGCTCGCGCATGCCTGCGCGTGCTGCAGGACCAAGGGCTTCTGAGCGGCTCACATGGGCTGTTGGAACCAGGCAGTGACGTCCTGGACGAGCCCGTCACCAAGTACGCACTGGAGCATGGCCACATGCACCTGTGCGAGTGTGCACGAGCGCTTGCAGACAAGGTAACAGGCGAATCAGGGCATGGCACCGACACTGAGGCCAGCGCTGCTGTTACTGCGAGTGCTAGGCAGAGCGTCGAAGCGTGGAGCGAAGTGTTGTTGCAGCCTCGTCGTGGGGACGATCCAATGTTGGCGCAATTCACTGGCACGGGTGTATCGCCAACGGAACGCGAGGCAACGGCAGCCATGGCGCAGTGGCTGCTGCTGCAGGCGTATTCTGCAGAACGTGGACGGCCCCTCATGAAGGAGCTGGCCGAGCTGGCCACAGCCCTGCTCGGTGTGGACAATGACATGTATCAGTTGCTTGATGGCACAAGCTCCCTTTTCGGAGAACACTGGGCGCCGAGGCTGAGTGAGGATGAGGCCTTGCGACGTGGAGCTGGTTGCTTCCTTGGTGGCATACCGTTGCAATCACACTGGTTCGCTTCACAGGCGCAGCGAACACTGGCACGAGCAGCAAGAACGAATCGCTGCCTTCTGCGCATTCCGAAGGTGCTTGCCCGCAGCCCCTGCAAGTTGGTCATCACTGGACACTCGAGTGAGGTCACCTCTGTTGGGTTCAGCCCTGATGGAACACGTGTGGTGTCTGGAAGCCATGACCAGACGGTGCGGGTGTGGGACGCACGGACGGGAGAGCAGCTGACACAATGCGAGGGGCACACGTTTTCTGTCACCTCAGTTGGGTTTAGCCCTGACGGGAGGCGTGTGGTGTCTGGGAGCAGTGACAAGACGGTGCGGGTGTGGGATGCGAGGACGGGCGAGCAGCTGACGCAGTGCGAGGGGCACACGAGTCGTGTCAACTCGGCTGGGTTCAGCCCTGATGGGACGCGTGTGGTGTCTGGGAGCGGCGAGACTTACGGGAAGAACGACGACAACACGGTGCGGGTGTGGGATGCGCGGACGGGTGAGCAGCTGATGCAGTGCGAGGGGCACAGAATTTGTGTCAGATCGGTTGGGTTTAGCCCTGATGGGACGTGCGTGGTGTCAGCTGGGGGCACAACTGTTCATGAGCCCGATTATTCATACTCCTGGGTGGAAGTCTCGGGCGTGGGCATGAACATCCGAATCTGGGACGCATGGACGGGAAGACAAACCCAAGAGCTGAAGGGGCATTCTCTCCCCGTCACTTCGCTTGCGCTGAGCGTTGATGGAACGCGTATCGTGTCAGGCAGCGAAGACCATACGGTGCGGGTGTGGGACGCACGGACGGGAGAGCAGCTGACGCAGTGCGAGGGGCACACACGTGTTATCCAATCAGTCTCACTGAGCACTGACGGGACGCGCATCGTGTCTGGAAGCAATGACGAGACAGTGCGCATTTGGGACGCGACCACGGGTGCACAGCTCGCCCAGCGCGACGGGCACACAAGTGGTGTCTCCTCGGTTATGTTCAGCGCTGACGGGACGCGCATAGCGTCTGGGAGCTCGGATGGCACGGTGCGCGTCTGGAATACGTTTGTGAGTGAGGATGTCGATCGGTGCGGCAGATATGCCTCGCATGTGAATGTGGTTCGTTTCAGCCCTGATGGGACGCGCATCGCATGTGGGAGCAGGGACGCCACTATTCGCATTTTAGATGCTGTCACGGGGGAACAGTTGGGCCGGTGTCACGGCCATTCTGGAGAAGTGACCTCAGTGGCATTCAGTCCTGATGGAGAGCACGTTGTGTCTGTTGGAGGAGAGGAAGATACAGGCGAGGAGATTTTGCATGTGACACCACGAGACAACACAGTGCGTATCTGGGACACGCGAACTGGGAAACAGCTTGCTGAGTGCCAGCACCAATGCGCTTGGGATGAGTGTTTCACGTCAGTCGCATTCAGCCCTGATGGAACGCGTGTGGTGGCTGGGAGCAGTCACACGACGGTGCGCATCTGGGACGCACGGACGGGTGAGCAGCTGCATCAGTGCAAGCGGCACACGGATTGGGTCACCTCAGTTGGGTTTTGCCCTGATGGGACGCGTGTGGCGTCTGGGAGCGATGACAAGACGGTGCGGGTGTGGAATGCACGTAATGGCAAGCAGCTGTCAAAGTGTAAAGGACACATGGGTCGTGTCACCTCGGTTGCCTTCAGCCCTGATGGGACGCGCGTGGCGTCTGGGAGCGATGACAAGACGGTGCGGGTGTGGAATGCACGTAATGGCAAGCAGCTGACACTGTGCGATGGGCACACGCGTGGTGTCTTCTCGGTTTCATTTAGTCCTGATGGGACGCGTGTGGTGTCTGGGAGTCGTGACAACACAGTGCGAGTATGGGACGCGGGCAGCGGGGCACAGCTCATTCAAAAGGACACGTACATTGGCAATGTCAATGTGGTTCAAGTAAGTGCTGATGGGACACGTATTGTATCTGGGAGCGCTGACAACACCGTGCGGGTGTGGGATGTGGAGACGAATAAGTGATGCGGTTGGCTGTCTTGAGTTTACTGGCCTTTTCCATGCCACCCAGCTCGGCAATCATTCCAAAAGCATGTTATGTTACGTTGTTTCTTAGTTGACTTGCGCGTTTGCTTTCTGGTCGTTTTCGTTTGCTGTGCGCCTTTTGTTTGCTGTACGCCCTTTGTTTCCTGTACGCTTGCAGCTTTTGAGTCCCTCTGTTTCTGTTTCATCTGTCGTTTCCTTCCTAGTACTTTCCTACGACATACTGACATGTAAGTCCACAATCCAATCCGGTCCCCATATGTTCCATCCAGCCATTCGTTCTTTGTTTGGTGTGCGTCTTTCTTGTGGGGCTCGAGATGTTGTATTTGCGAGCAATCATCATCACATCACAACGCAAGCGTGCTGCACATCCCCTTGTTCTCCTTGTGCTAAGCCCCCTCCAGTCCACAACCGTGCTTTAAGTACATAGTTGAGTGGTGTGACAAGTGTGACACATCACGTCACAAGCCAGAAACGCAGCCACAAACACACACTCCTCAACACAGTCCCAGAGCAGAGGCCCACCACACACCACACCGAGAGGACAAAGCCAGAAGAGAAGAGAAGAGAAACAGGAGTGGCAGAAGAGGAAGGCAGAAGGAAGCAAAGCCCTCAAAGCCCTCACACCAAATAGCCTAACAGCAAGCCCAGACAACCAACTCTTCACTCACTCCTCCTCTGAACCAATCCCCAACAACGAACAAACCAGCAAGGGAAAGATAGCTGCGTGGTTCACGGTTCGGGATGTGCGGCGACAGCTGGCGCAGCTCGGCCACTACAACGTCCCGACGACGTACTCAGCGACTTTACACAAGGTGTGGTAGGTGTGTATTTTGTTTGTGTGAGTGTGTGTGTGTCTGTGTGTGTGTGTGTGTCTGGGTGTGTGTGTGTGTTTGTGTGTGTGTGTGTGTCTGTGTGCGCAGGCACATGAACGCCCTCCACTGACACGTGACATTGCTGTGACTCACATCGCGTCATGAGCGTCAGCCCTTGTTCCACATCATTCCTCCAATGTACACATCATCATCGCCTTTCCACCATGATGCACGCCGCTAAGTAAACCACCACCGATACACATGCATAGCTCAAGACAGCACACCAACACCACGCAGTTCCTCTTTCTCTCCCCTCTCTCCATCTCCGCCTCCGTCCTCCGTCGTCCATGTACATTCGTTTACTTGCAAGACACGTGGGCTATCTGCCGGTTATGATTACACGAAGGGAGATGAATACCAATGGCGGCGGGACTCCTGATCAAGGAAGATAAAGCAGAAAGAGAGAGTGAGAACGAGACTGCAAAGGTGAAGCAAACTGTGGACATCATCACCACCATCATCGTCTTGCGGTGCGGTTGTCATCATGGCTGGGCCGGGACTTCTTGTGCTTTGGCACAAACACCTCCTGTTGCTGCAAATACGCGCCCAGTACGGTACTGACGACGATCCCACAGCCAATGAACAGGCCCGCGCTCGCCAGTCCAATCGCTGCAACAGGTGGTGAGGGAAGGGGGGAAGATGAGAGGTGATGAAGAGGGATGCGCATATGTGTGTGCGTGCGTGCGTGCGTGCGTGCTTGCGTGCGTGCGTGTGCGTGTGTGTGTGTTTCGCATACTGTGGCGCTCACCAAAGTACATGCCGGACTTCTTCACGCTCGTGGACAGGTCGTCGAAGCTAGTGAGAGGTGAAAGGTGGTGGGAGACGTGGGAGACATGGTGAGAGGTGAAAGGAGTGTGCAAGACAGCTACGCAGACAGCGAGACAGTTACAGAGGCAGTAACAAACACAGCAACAAACACACAGACACAGTCAGACACAGACAGACACACGCACGCACAGAAAACAACAAACACAGACACAGACACACACAGACACACGCACACACACAGACACACACACAGACACACACGCACACACACACACACACACACACACACACACCCGTCGATGACGCTGCCTGCGAGGGATACGAATGGGGACTTGAGAGAGTCCAGATCGGGTAGCATGCGTGTGCCGTCGCCTTCCTTGATGAAGGAGAGCTCACTCTTGCTCAGAAAGTCGCCCACTCCCATGTCTGCTGTCTGTGTTCAGTTGTGTTGGTGCACTGTTGTCTTCTTTCTGCTCCTCGTCAACTTTGTGCAATTGGCGCATTAAAGGAGCATCGACTCACGTACGTTGCTGCTCACACACAGTAGATTCGATGCACATTTATTCACAACCACGACGATGTCGAACGCGGCAAAGACGGCAAAGGTGTTGGAGGCGCTTGTGGCGCGGTGGCCTCGCATTGCGGGCCGCGACGGCCGAAGCATCGCAGAGAAGCTCACCTCCGAATACAAGACGCGCATGGTCAAGGCAGCCAGCGGCGAAGACGTGCGTCTGTGTGTACGCCTGTGTGTGTGTGTGTGTGTTTGCGCATGTGTGTGTGTGTGTGTGCGCGCATGTGTGTTTGCATTTGCGCATGTGTGTTTGCACATGTTTGCGCTTTCAACACAACATTGCGTGCACGTTGCGTTCCTGCTCCGCCGCAACTATCTCATCTCCGCACACACTTACACTGTAGGCGTGGGCCGTGAAGCGGGAGCTGCAGGCCATTGAGGATTTGCTCGAGGACAAGTTCAGCAAAGAGGTGCGTCCTGTGTGTCGCCGTTGACTATGGAGTGATATTGCGCGGCAGCCTCCGTTCCTGCTTGTTGTGTGTGTGTGTGCTTGTATTCTTGCCCTCACGTGTGCTGCCGCTGTTGCTGCTGCTGTTGCTGCTGTTGTCCAAACAGTTCCCACGCCAGGAGAACACCAACTTTTCCGGCGACCTTGGGCGCAAGTGGGGCTATTCACAACTCTCATCAGGTACAGCATGTCATGTGTGTTTGTGTGCCTGTGCGTGTGTGCTGCAAGTTTACTGCGTGCTTTGTGCTCCTGCTCACTTTCACCTGCTGTTTACTTTGTGCCCTCTTTGCAGATGCACAAAGCGAGTTCAACAAGGAAGGCTTCTTTGCGCGCATGATGAAGCGGAAGCGCCCAGCATCTTGAGTGTGTTGTGTATGTGTGTGTGTGTGTGTGTGTGTGTGTGTGTGTGTGTGTGTGTGTGTGCAGCTGTGTGTCTCTGCCGCTCCAAACCCTCCGCCTCTTCCTCTCTCTGTTTCTGAGAAGTTCGCGCCACGTCACGACATGCGACGTTGCGACCTTCACTTGTTCATAATAACTTGAGCTTTGAATGCTTTCATCGAGAGGGCTACTTGGGATTAGTGAACATTGTTTGTTTGTTTGTGTGCACACGCGTGCATGTTCCCTTGTTGGTTCAGCTGAGGTCGATGACGGGCATCACCTTGTCGTCCGTAAACTTGAGGACAACGCTCCCAGGCTAGATGCGGAAGAGGGCGAGAAGACACGGGTGAGCGGACGCGCAGTGTGGCTCATGTAAGCAACGTGGCCAACGTGAGCAACGCAAGCAGTGAGATGAAACACACGCACCACCACGTAGCACTAAACACACGCCACCAACAATCGCGCACAGCACCGGCCACGCACCTTGTCGGCAAACGACTTGGTGGCAATGGTGCAGACAATCTTGTTCCTCTGCGCCACCCGCTGCAGGGCGTCCAGACGGGACTGGGGTTCCGCTTCGGAGGACCGCGTTTTAAACGTGGAGATATCCGACGCCGCCTTTCCAAACGCATTTGCCGCCATCTCAAACAGCTCATCCGCCTGATGGAAGGGAAAGGGGGTTGGGGTTGGGCGCAATGCGGGGGTGGGCAGGACGTATGCGTGAGCTGGCGAATGTTGTATGCATACGCACATGCATGGACAGACACAGGCACAGACACAGACAGACACACAGACAGGCAGACATGCACACACACACACACACACACACACACACACACACACACAGACGTTGAGGTGGTCGAGGTCTGCAATCTTCGAGCAGAAGAGGTCGTAGCTGGCCGGATATGGGATGACGACGTCCTGGAACGGAGCAAAGCGGTGCTCAAACACAATGCGCGGGTCAACGAGTGGCGGTGGCGGTGGCGGTGCACGCCCCAGACGATCACACGCAACCAGCGCCTGTTGCGGAACAGGAGGTGAAGGGGTGGGAGTGGTGAGTGAATGTAGGGGGCAAGAAACAGCGGAAGGGGAGCAAAGGACGCAGAAGAAGTGTGTGTGTGTATGTGCGTGTGTGTGTGTGTGTTTGGACAGACAGACACACACACACACACCAACCAGGGTGTACGCGTCTGCAAACGCGCTCCATGCATCCGCGAGGCGCCAGCTGTCTGGTGGCTCGAGCTGCTTCTGTTTCTTCTGCTTTCCTTTGCCTTTCTTCTTCTTCGCGGCCCCACCACCACCAGCAGCACTGGTGCTGGCTGCTTGTGCCTCTGCTGCCTCTCGCAGTTGCGTGAATGCGCGCGTCTCGATTGTCAACAGCCACCCGGCGACGTGACGCATGTACCTGACATGGGAGGGGAAATGGGGGTGGGGGTTAGGCCGGGGGGGGGAGGTTTCACGGCAGGAGAGACAGACACAGGCACAGACACAGGCACAGACACAGACACACAGACAGACACAGACACAGACACACACACACACACAGACACACACAGACACACACAGACACACACAGACACACACAGACACACACACACACACACACACACACACACACACACACACACACAAACAACCCAGCACTGTGCGCACCAGAAGACGGACAGCAGTTCCCACTGCGCGTGGAGCTGCAGTTCGAGTCCGAGCATGAGGAATTCGAGTCCGGCAATGCACGCGCGCCGCCCCGCCCACGCCGTCAGAGGGTGGTGTTGGCTCGGCTGGTGATGATGGTGATTGTGAGGTTGTGGTGACGATGGTGATGACACGATGATTGATAGTGGTTGTGGATTTGAGGAAGGAGTGATGAGCGTGAGCAAGGCGCTGACGACGAGATTCAAGAGGGCGACAGTGACAGCGTGCTCACCTTCTCGGCACCAAGGTGCGTCACGTCCACCTGCGTCGCCTGTTCAGTTCACACAACAAACAAACAACACATGTGCACACAAGCAAAACAAACAGCATGACGTCGCATTGTGAGGCGTGATCGTGGTGGTGGTGGTGTTGGCGCGCGTGATGAAAGCAAGCCCGTGTGTTTCAAGGGCGCGAACGAGTGGTGTTCGCACGTACCAGCGATGAGAGCGTGGCGGCGGACGTAAACACTCTGCCAACGTGTTGGTGCGGGCATGCAAATGAACGGGGCGTTGGTGCAATGTGTTGAGATCAAGCAACAAACGAACAACGCACGCAACATGCACGACGAACGTGCAGATACACACACACACACACACACACACACACACACACACACACACAGGGAGCAAGCTGGTACTTTGCGAGTCTGCGTCGTTGTCGCGGGCAGTTTTGACAGGCGATGGCGACGGTGTTCTCCTCAAACTCAACCGCAACACCAACAAATGCCGACAGCTGCTCAGCTCCCCTGCTCACGCGCGTACACACACACAGGCGTGTGTGTAAGTATGCGTTTGAAAGAGTGTGTGAGGTGAGCATGAGAGCGAGTGGATGAGTGTCAGAGTGCAGGCACGCGGTCTTGTGATTGTCGGACACTCTCCGCCGATGCAGACATCCAAAACCGATCGACCAACCTGGTTGGTTTGTATCCTGGGGCCATGATTGCGTATCCGCACCAGTTGTACACATCCTCCCGCACCTGAGGCGGCAGTGGTGTTGTGTGGGGGGGGGGATGAATGTATGGAGTGTGAAGAGAGGGAGAGCGCTCAAGGAGGTGGTACACAAGGGATACAACACCACAGACACAGACACAGACACACACCGACACAGACACAGACACACAGACACAGACACAGACACACACACACACACCGCCTGTCCTGGGTCGATCTTCCCTGCCCACTTGTTCTTGTTGAGGAAGCAGCGGTGCACAACAGAGCGAGCGAAGGCGCCGGCGCCCATGCGCGCAAACCGCCCGAAGAACTGATGCAGCGCATGGAGTGTTCCTGGCGGTGGTGGTGGTGGCGGTTATGGCGGGTATGGTGGTGATTGGGTGTTGTGAGGGCGAGCTTGTTGAAAAAGGAGGATGAGTATGGTGTGAAGCGTAGGGTTGGTGGGAGAGAAGGTTGGGTGTTGTCTGACGAATGCACAGCGGATTTCACGACTGCAGTGAGTGCGTTCACACACACACACACACACACAGAGGGTGGACGCACTGCATGAGAAGATGTGCATTCCGGTCTTGATGCAGACAATCTCGTGGCGCAGGTACTCGTACGCCTGAGCCGCAGGTATAATGGCGGTGTGATGTGGTGATTATGAATGGGCAAGCGAGACGTGAGAACAGGCAGGGTACAGCAGACAACAAGCAAAATCACCGCACACACACACACACACACACACACACACACACAAATGCACACACACACACACACACACACACACACACACACACACACACACCTGCTGCGTTGTGATGGATTCGATTTCGCGCAGCGGCGTGGCGGCAAGCAAGTGGCCGTTGATGGTTGGCTGGAGTGCTGAGTCACGCTCACCGGACGACACGTCCGCTCCTGCCTCGAGCGTTGCGAGGCACGCGTCGAGATCACTGAGCGCGTGCGTTGCCATGCGCAGGCCGTTGGGGATGGCGTTGAACTTGAGGTACTGCTGCATTGCGCTGAGGAGGTGAAACAGCAGCCGCATCCTGTTGGAAATCGTATGTGTGTGTGTGTGTTTGTGTGTGTGTGTGTGTGTGTGTGTGTGTGTGTGTGTGCGTGTGTGTTTGTGTGTCAGTTTGTGGTTGGGGATTGGGCTCAGCATAAGAATAAGCAGAGAAGGCGGGCGTACAAACCAACACAAAATACACGAGCGCAATCAGGACCTGTGAGCAACGTTCTCTGGCTGTGTTTTCATTGTGGCGTTGATATCCGCTGTGCCATGGCCGTGGTGATTATGTGAGTGCGGACAGATAAAGGGTTGGTGCAGGTCAGCAGGCTTCAATGCTGACGCATGCGCAGTATGTGGAGTGCAAAACTCATGCACACACACACACACACACACATACACACTCACCATACATACATACAAACTACCTCTCCTCACCGAGCACTGCTGCAAACGGCTTCCAGGAGCACATGTCAAAGCCATAGAGCGAAGTCACAAAGTCCTCCTCTTCACAACAGGATGCTTGAAGGCACTGGCGTGTCATAGATGAAGTGGGTGAAGGAGCCACGGCGATGAGGCTGGGGAGGAGGAAATGTGGCGTTGATGTTGACAACGTGCGTCCACACACACACACACACACACACACACACACACACACACACACACACACACACACACACACAAACACACACACACACACACACACACACAAACACACACACACACGCGCGCGCGCGCGCACGCACACACACGCACAACACATGCTCACCCACAACGCACGCCATGTACGTACGATGGTTTGCGTCGCTTGGACGAGATGCAGCATGCCTTCGAAGAAGATCTGCAGCTCCTTGCACTTGAGCACACGGGGATCATGCATGTACATGCAAGTCAGCACCGTCTGCCCAGCGTTGTTGCCTGTTGGGGAAGTTGGGGTGCGGGAAAGTGAGCGAAGTACGAGAACGGGACAACAAAATGCACTGTGCTTGCCGTGCGCATGTCGTGCGCGACGTGCATTCATGCGCACCTCTGTACCACAGGGCGAGGAGGTTGAACATTTGATCCATTAGGCCAATCTGCTCTGCTTCCGAAAAGTCATCGACCTTCAAGCCATTCTGTTGGAAGGAGGTGCGGGTGGCACAGGACTGTTATCAGTTGTATATGCAACGTACGTGTACACGCACACACACACACACACACACACACACACACACACACACACACACACATACACACACACACACACACACGCACACACGCACACACACAGCTCACATCGAGAGCGTCCTGGAGCGTGTTGACGGCAGTGAGGTTCACGTCCATGCCAGCGTCCATGCGCGGGTCTATGAGCTCGATGGCTTGCAGTGCATCGTGCAGCGATAGTCGCGGATCACGCACCAACTCTCCAAGCGGCAGTGCTATCCGCACAGGGGGAACAGTGGGTGTGTTAGTAGCGAGCGCGTGTGAGGGAGCATGTACCTGAGTGAGCGAGTGTGTGTGTCACATACACACACACATAGATACACAGACACAGACACACACAGACACACAGACACACACACACACACACACACACACGCACGCACAGACACGCACACACAATGTACCTGCGCAGCTGCGCTTGAACGCGCCAGTGACATCCTCCCAGTCACACATCTCGGCGATATCCGCAGGTGTGTTTCACGACAGCACAAACAGTTTCAAGCAAAGTAATGAAGAATGGTGGAAATCTTATACTAATTGTCGTGCCACAACAACAACACAAACCACAAACCACACCCACCCCCCAAGATCCAAAATGATCGCCGCATCGAGATCGCTCCTGCTGCTGTTGCCGCTTGCGGTGTTGTTGGTGTGCGGGCTCTGCTTGCAAGCACCACTAACGTATGCGAGCCCTTCACCTCCTTCACCCGCTTCACCCCCTTCACCCCCTTCACCCGCTTCACCCACGGTCGGGAAGGACGCGGCCGGAAACCTGCACATCAACACGACCTTTGACACGACGGGTGCGACCGTGTACGTGAACGGTGTGGATCTGCTGGACGAGCTGGCAACGCTGCGCCGCGAGGTGCGCGCGCTGCGCGACACGTTTGGCTGCAGGGTGTTCACCTACGACGTGACGACGTTTGCGTCGCTCAGCGGCGGCGACAAGTGGTGGGGCGCCGTGCATGCCAGGAACGACAAGATCTTCGGCGTTCCGTACGACGCCACCTCCGTCCTCATCATCGACCCGGCGGCCAACACCATCGACACCACGTCCATCAGCGGCCTGGCGTCTACGGAGGGCAAGTGGTCCGACGGTGCAGAGGCACCCAACGGCAAGGTCTACTGCGTGCCGCAGTATGCTGGCGCTGTGCTCATCATCGACACGGAGACCTACGCCGTGGACGTTGGCACCCTCGGCGGCCTGAGCGGCAAGTGGCAGGACGCCGTCCTCGCCAACAACGGCAAGATCTACGGCATACCCTCGAGCGCCGCCAGCGTGCTAGTCATTGACCCAACGAGCAACACCACCGACACAACGTCCTTGCCCGTCCTATCTGGCAACAACAAGTGGGGCGGCGGCGTGCTGGCTGCCAACGGCAAGATCTACGCGGTTCCATTGGGCGAATCCTCCGTCCTCATCGTTGACCCTGAGGCCAACACCGTTGACATCACAACCATCTCCGGCCTGCCGAGGACCACCTCGCCCAAGTGGTGGAACGCCGTGCTTGCAAGCAACGGCAACATCTACGGCATCCCATACTCGTCGTCTGCCGTGCTCATCGTCAACCCAGTCACCGATGCGGCCGATTGGACCACGCTGGCCGGCCTCCCCACCACAACCGGCAAGTGGTTTGACGGCGTGGAGGTGTCCGACGGGCGCATCGTGGCCACGCCCGACAACGCAGACTCCATCTTGGCCATTGACACCAACGCCAACACCACGTCCACTGCCACCTCCGTCTCCTCGTCTCAGTTCAAGTGGCTTGGCGCCGCAAAGTCTGCCGCCACCGGGCTTGTCTATGGCGTCCCATACGACAGCACGTCCGTCCTCATCATCAACCCAGACTGCGTCGTGTGAGAAGGCAGTTCGTTTGGCGATGTAAGGCGGGGGAGAGGTTACGAACAGCTACTTCCCTCTGCTGCTCTTTCTTCTTTCGTTATGTCACAACATTAATTCCGTGCTTCCTGTTTGCTTGCTTGCGATTATGTTACACATTACAATTATGTCACTTTGCAGTTGCCCAACTGCCGTTGCCTTTCGTTTGCTTTGCTTGCTTCCTTTTCTGTGTTCAACGCACTCTGCACGCGCCATTCCCTGGCTCGCAACTCTCCCCTTTTCTCTCCCATCTCCCCTTCCCTCCCTCTTTCTTTCTGTCCTTGAGTCAGACAATGCTTTATTTCTTTCGGGCTATGTACGATGTTGGGTTGTTACATTACAATACACGTTGACAGACAATACACGTACACGTTGACTCAGTGCACTTGCGTGCGACATGAGCGAAACATGACTTGAATGCGCTACGCACAGCAGTAAGCAAGGTGTAAGTCAACAACAAGAAGAAAGAACATGCAACGGGAAGCGGGGATGGAAAGCACTCGGTGCGGTTAGTGGTTGGTTGTGCCTGGTCAGGTAGGTGTTGTGATGGAGTGATGTGGTGCACGACGCACACACACGCATACAAGGTTAATCATACTGGCCAAATTAGTACCCGAAGAAGACAAGAGAGAGAAGAGGGGGAAGAAGCAGAAACAGCCATGTGAGCTGTGCCGGCATGATACATGCTCGTGCAGGTCATGTCAGAAGAAATGGAAGCGAAGAGAGAGAGAGAGAGAGAGAGAGAGAGAGAGAGAGAGAGAGAGAGAGAGAGAGAGAGAGAGATTGGGACGCGTGTGCGCGTCCGAAAGGCGGACTTGAAGGGAAAAAGCATTCGAAGGTGCGATGGGACGCGTTCGTTGATGAACACGTGTGCGACGTTGTCGTCGATGCCCTCAGAAGACGCACGACTGCTTTCTGGTCACGGGCACTTTGCCGCGGCGGCTCGCCAGCTGTTTCTGCTGTCGCAATCTGAAGGTTGCGTGGAGGGGGGGGGGGAATCAAGGTGGGATGCATGTGAGAATCGCGCGTGGTACACACACACACACACACACACACACACACACACACACACACACACAGACACAGACACAGACACAGACACAGACACAGACAGACAGACACACACACACACACACACACACACAAAACAACATCCCTCACCCCTCCCTCTTTTCCTGCAGACGTACTCTCGCTCGAGCTGCTGGACGCGGTCGAGGGCCTCCTTCAGCTGCGTGCTCGTGTCGGGGTCAGGGTCCGGCCGCAACAGCTCGCTCTTCAGAATGTCAGAGGTGGTCGGCCGCTCGCCCGGCTGCTCAGAGAGCATTGCCATGACAAGGTGGTTGAACTTGGACGAGTAGCCGGCAAGCGGTGGCGGGCTGTCGCGCAGACGGTGCCACTCTGGCCCGTTTGCAGCGAGCGGCACGAGGCTGGCGAGCTCGTACATGGTGCAGCCAATGGAGAACACGTCCGCCTTGGACAGATCGCGGTACTGGCCCTTCAGCACCTCCTGTATCAAGAAACGGTCGACGTGAGGGTGTGGGTGAAGTGAGAGGGGAAGCGAGTGAGTGAGTCCTGAACAAAAGCAGCTTCATTTGCACGGCAGGTCGTAGCACAGACACACAGACACAGACATTCAGTCGCACACACACACACACAGACACACACACACATTCACACACACACACACACACACAGCAACCTTGCCACTCACGCGTGCGAGGTATCTGCTGTCGCCCTCTTCTGCCGACTTGTCATCGCGGCGCGTCACCAGTCCAAGATCGCCGAGCTTAAACGACACCTTCTTCAGCACACCACTCCCAGCAACATGCGCCTCCTGTGCATGTGCATGTGTGTGCTCTGCGTCCACGATGATGTCAGCAACATCAACGGCGTCGCCCGCATCGCCCGCATCCGATGTCCCGCACGTCGTCACCGTCGCGCTCTCGGGCTCAAACACGTCGTCAGCGCTGCCCACCGTACTCGTGCTCGTAATCACACCCAGACCACTGCTGTTGGTGCTGTTGGTGATGGTGTTGTCTGCGTGTTCGCGCGGCATGAGCGGGCGGCGCGCCATCATGGTTGCTGTCGCCGTCTTGCCAGCACTGCATGCGGAAGCAAACGCATCGCTATGGGTGCCAGCAGCACGGCTGCTATCATCATTTCCGCCACCAAACAGCTGCAACCGGCCCCTTCGCCCCTGCTTCTTGGCTGCAGCAGTGTCGGTAACCGTGGCATTCGCGGTGGCAGTGGCGGTAGCACCGATGTTGCTGTTGGTGCTGATGGCGTCTGTGTTTGCGTCACCCTTCGCGTTGTTAATAGTGGACACGCCGAGACGGGACATGGTGCCGCTGACAGAGCCGCCACCTTCACCATCACTCCCGCTCTCTCCAAACACAGACTCCAGGTCTGAGGGCAGCGTGCCCGACGTGTTGAAGCTGTTGGACCCGCTGCTGTGCTCATCATGCTCGTGCGCACCGTCATCTTTACCACGAGCACCCTCCATCGTTGCTGTCTGCTCGTCATCCTGGTGCCATCCCCGCAGTCGTGAACGGGACCGTGAACGCGTTCCCCGGCTCAACCCACGACCCCTCCTCTCCTCCTCATCACCATCGTGGCTGTTGGTGGTGTTGTCTGCGTCCTCCTCATCAGTCAGCTCAACATCCGTCGACTCATAACCAGGCTGCACCGCAGCGTCATCCGCCGTCATTGACATGCGCTTGTCAAGCTGTGCGTGTGGGTGTGTGCGCGCGTGAGTGTGTGAGTGTGTGAGTGTGTGTGTGTACATGTGTGTGAGCGTGTGTGTGTGTGTGTGTGTGTGTGTGTGTGTGTACATATGTGCGTGCACATGTGTGTGGGCGTGTTGTGATGAGCGCAAGAAAAGAAAAAAAAAGTAGCAGCGCCACGCATCCTCCTCCTCCATCCTCCCCACCACTGCTTCAACAAACCTTCCGCCGTGCCCGTGCGGCCTGCCGCGGTTTCGCCACGCGCCCAATCGGCTCCTCGTACTTGATCAGGATGTTTGCGGGCTTGATGTCCATGTGCACCAGCTTCAGCCGATGTAATGCATGTGTGCCCAGTGCCTGAACATGTGTGTGTGTGTGAGTGTGAGTGTGAGTGTGAGTGTGAGTGTGTGTGCTCGTACATGATCAAGTGCAAACGGACAATACCACGACACCACGACACCACCACCTCCTCCTCCTCTTGCATTGCAGCAAACAGGGACGCACCAGGTGTTTGAGGATGACGAGGAGCGTGTGCTCGAGAAAGGGCCTGTTTGCGCGCCTGTGGTCATCAAACAGCTTGGCCAGGGTGCCGCCGTCACAGTACTCGTTCTGGATAATCATGCGATTGTCCTCCTCCCACGCGGAGAAGTAGCGCACAATGTACGGCTGCGCCTGCAGCACCGCATGCGCATACACCTCCCGCAACAGCTGCCGTCTGCGTTGCCAAACAGGTGAGGTGGTGGGGGATAGGGGCGAGTGAGAGAGAGAGCAATGAATGGCTGAGGAGTTGACTGGGTGGTTCACTTGTGCGCCAGCAAGACACCTCCAGAACGGCTGCTTTCAAACACGAACCATCAACACAACACGACACCAACCCCACTACCCTCCGTCACTACATCACGCAACTTACTCTTCAGCGAGGCCGGCGATGCGTTTGCGCGACTTCTTGATGGCGTACACCATCCCATCTGTCGAGAACATCGAGAAGCGTGAGGGGGGAGTGGTGGCGGAGGTCGGACGCGATCACAAGAAAGGAGAGACACGCAACGACCCGAACCAACGACCCGAACCAACGACAACAACCCGCAACCGCCACACACACACACACACACACACACACACACACACACACACACACACACACACACACACGAACCGAGCTTGTGTCTGCATTTGTAGACGGTGCCAAAGTCGCCTTTGCCAAGGATGCTCTCCTCAACAAACTCCTCACGATAGCGCCGCACAACGCTGAACGTCTGTTGATTATGGTGGCAGCACAACAGCGAGAGACAACACCCACGCGGCAGTCGTGAGCAGTAGCATCGCAAAGCGAGCCACAAGAAATCAACAGTGCGCAAACACACACTCCACAACGGCAAACACTTTCACACCCCCAGCCCCCAACCCCACTTATCTCAACACCCAACGTGAACGTGCACCTTCTTGTGCGGCTGCGGGTTGTTGCGGAGCAGCGGCTGGGAGTCGTCGTGCCCGCGCTTGCCCTTGGTGCGCGGCGTAAACGGGTTGACGTTGGCGTGGTTGGTGTTCTGGTCGTCGCCCTCAGAGGCAAGCACCACGCTGTTGTTGCGCATGAGGACACCTCGTCGTGCACGGTGCAGCAGGCTGCGTGGCGTTGCCGGCTGGTTCCGCAACTGGATGTGCGAGTCCTGCTTCGACAGTGGGATGGGGGAGTGCGGGGTGGCTGCAAACGTGCCTGCCGTCCCCAGGGACAGCAGCGCCGTGTTGCCCACACCACGCGCTGTGGCATCGCGTGGGTGGAGGTGTTGGCGCCCGGAAAACGCGGTGTCAATGTGGTCCGGGCTCGTCGCACACACGCGCATGGCTGCTGCTGTCGGTGTTGTTGGTGGGATTGCCATCGAAGGTGCGCAGAGGTTCGGCCGCGGCCGCGGTGAGCGCATGGCAAACGCTGCGCGCGGGCCCTTGCGTGCCGGTGACGGCGGCACCTCCGTTCGCGGCGGGCACGGCGATGCTGGCACGTGCGCCATCGAGAACGTCATTGTCGTCGTTGGTGGCGGGGGCGGCGATGATGCGGTGTCGTCAAACCCAAGCACCGGCCGCGGACGGGGCGGGTTCGGGGAGCGCGGCACAGGCATGGGCCGCCGCCTACGCGCAGAGTCGCGTGGTGGCGTGTGCATGCCCTCGCTAAACTCGAGGAAGGACGAGCTGTTCAGGTCGTCACCACCAAAGTCGCGGGAAAGCAGCAGCGCTGGTGGGGTGCGCGGCTCCTCAGCGTCAACGCCAACGTCGACAGTTGTTACTGCTGATGATGTTGGTGGTGGTGATGGTGCTGTTGTTGTTGTTGCTGTTGTTGTTGCTGTACTTGTTATGGCTGGAGTGGAGGTTATTGCATGGCTGCCTTGGCTGAATGATAACCTGCCTCCTCCTTGAGGTGACGAAGGCACCCCTGTTGCGTGATGTGCGTGTGAATGAATACACAAGTGGAGTCATGACGCGGTGAACAACCAGCCTGCGAGAACAATGCAACAAAGCGACACTGCAACGGCACAAGCAACACGCAGCACCTTGTTCTCACCTTCGTGGGTGCAGTTGTTGAAGTTGGGCTCTGCCATGATCGCCTGTCGTGCGGTGGTTGCGAGTTGTGTTTGTTGTGTGTGTGTGTGTTTGTTGTGTGTGCGTGTGTGTGTGTGTGTTTGTTGTGTGTGCGTGTTTTGTGTGTGTGTGTGTGTGCGTGAGTGTGCGTGAGTGGAACAGTGCCCATTTGTGTGAAGATGTGTAGACTGATGAATGGAAGGAGCAGCAATGACAGATGGGCGATAGCCCACTCAACGCATGTGTACCGCCACCACCTGCACCACACCCAGCCAGCCAGCCTGTTCGTGCATGTTCTTCAAACAAGTGCAAAAGGCTGACCAACCAACGCCACACCACTCGGTCGACCGTGCACCCACAGCATGTAACGGTTTCTGCCACCATCCCAACCACGCACACATACACATACAGACTGCGCCAGACCAACCTATGCGCGCGAAACACGGAGGTGATGGTCAGAAACGGCGCACTCGACTTGTGCGCTGGCTGGTGCTGATGGTGTTGCTGCTTGGCAGCCTCAACAAAGACAGGAAGCAACGAGAGGCGGCTCCCCAACCAACACAGCTCAGCAAACAGTTGCACGACCAAGCTGGTGATGGAATGGGTGTGCGCAGCTCGCTGCTGGTGGCTGCTGGTGGCTGCTGTTGTCTTGGTGTTGTGTTGGTCTGTTGTCACAGGTGTTGTTGATTGTGTCAAAGGGTGCGGCAGGTGTTGAGACAGCTTGCTTGCTTGGCGTGGAATGCAATCGACGCGAGGCAACTGCCACAAGCAACAAAGGGGGCGACGCACAAGAACGAGCCACCAAAGAAGGCTTGCTTGCAGCTGCTGGCAGCCAACAAAACAACAAAGGGAGAGAGAGGTTGGATGGGAAAGCTCTGCACAACAAACACACACACGCTCGCAGCACAAAACAGAAGGGGACGGTCAGGGCACGACAACAGCTGCGGCTGTTCGAGTTTTCGGCGGGAATGCTCAACGGTCACCGAACATGAACATTGATTGAAATCATACATAAAGCCCGTGACTACTGTATTTGATGCAAGTCACTTCAAAACCTGCAACTTGAGGGCAGCATTGCAATTGGCAAAACACACCCGGCACGCTTGCAAAGCGTGGTCGGCAACAACGACAACAAAGGAGAGAGCATGGCGCAGCAGCGTGCTGGCAGTGGTGGTGGTGGCAGTGGTGGTGGCGCAGTGTTGATGGGGTTGCTGCAGAAGGTGGTGAAGACGCCAGCGCTGGTGCATGATGTGGATGTGGAGGAGGAAGTGGCGGGTGTGTTGAAAGCATACGCAGAGGAGCTGCTGGGCAGTGGACAGGAGGAAAAGGCCCTGTGGCTGTACTCGAAGACATGCAGCATGTTTCGAGCGTCGTGGCTGCTGCGCCATGACTTTGCGCTGACCCTGTACCGGGCGAGACGGTGGTCCGACGCGCTCGCCCTGTTAGAGGAGTGCATGCAGTTGGCGCCGGAGGAGGCCTGCATTGTGGAGTCACACGAGAACATTGTCAACCTCGTTGTGGAGCGCTGGCACTTTCGCATGCTCAACGACAAGCAGCGCAACGTGGCGTACCGCAATGCATTGCAAGCGGCAGTGGCCGAGAGGCTGGCCACAGGCTCCACGTGCACCGTGCTGGACATTGGGGCGGGCACCGGGCTGCTCAGCTTGTATGCCCTGGAAGCAGGCGCAACCGCCGTCTACGCCTGCGAAATGAACGCGCCAATGGCAGAGGTGGCCCGCGCATGCATCCGTCAACACCAGCAAACACAGCAGGAGATGAAACGGCAGGAAAAGAAGGAAAAGAAGGAACAGGGGCAGCGTCTGCAAGACAGAAAACAGCAACAACAACAGGAACAACAGCAGCAACAGCAACAACAACAGGAACAACAACAACAACAACAACAACAACAACAACAACAACAACAACAACAACAACAACAACAACAACAACAACAACAACAACAACAACAACAACAACAGCAACAGCACCAGCAGCAACAGAAGCAAGGGCACTCAGCCATGGCTGGGAGCTCAGGCATGCCTCATACCGATCATGCCAGCTCACGAGACGATCACACAGATGAGTGCAGCCGTGCGTTTGGCGACGCCAAGATCCATGTGCTGCAGAAGCACTCGGGTGCGCTGTGCATCGGCGAGGACCTGCCAGAGAAAGTGGACATTGTTGTGACGGAGCTGGTGGATGCCGGGCTGCTTGGCGAACACATCCTGCCCGTCTTGGCGGACGCACGTGCGCGCTTGCTGAAGCCAGATGGCGTCATCATCCCTGACCACGCCCATCTCTACGGCGCAGTCGTCAGCAGCACGGATCTCAGCACGCGGTGCCGCGCGACGTTTGCGGGTGGCGCGATGGTGCTGGAGGCAGGTGACATGTACACGTGCGAGAACTTGTCGCTCGTGGACCACACGATGCTGACGCCACCCGTGTATCTCGGCACAGTGCCACTCAGCCCAGCAGCTGGTGTGAGCGGACAGAAGTTTCATGTGCCGGTCACAGCGCTCGCCACGGGCACGGCGCACGCCATTGTGACCTGGTTTGATATGCAGCTCCTCAACACCAGCGACTGCAGCAGCGCGTTGGGCGAGGACGTTGATGGCAGGGGTGATGATGATGATGATCATGATCATGATGGTGGTGTTGCTGGGAAAGAAGAAGAAGATATTGTGTTGGAACCGCAGCGTGCACAGCTTCGTCGTGGTGAAGATCAAAGAGAAGCTGATGTGGATGATGGCAAGTGTCGTGACGGACTCGAACACCACCATGTGCAGGAGAGACTACAGACACAGCAGCATCCGGAGGGAAGCAGGCCGTTGACACACGTGAGCACATCGCCCGGGCGCGGGCTGTGGTGCGGCTGGGACCAGTGCGTGCACTTCCTGCCGTCTTCACCAGCAGTGACAGCAGGGGAGGCATTGTTGTTAGATGTTTCGCACGATGGCGACACGGTTTCTGCCCGTTTGCGTCGTGACAGCACGCCGGATCACAGCACGTTGCACCACGGCGGCGGCGGCGATACCAACAGCAGCGCTGATGCGAGCACGAACCACAGTGCACGTGTTGTGATGGCTGCGATGGGGGAGGCAGACATGGCCGCAGCCAACGATCGCTTGTACCACGAGGTGCTGGTCCGTGGCGTGGCCCGAGACCAAGTGCGAGGTCGACAACAACAACAACAACACCGCTTGGATGTAGTTGCGTACGTGTGTCGGGCGTGCTCAGTGCTGCCGCTGATGCACAGGAAACACGCGAGCACGAGAAGTGGGGAGTGTGTGGTTGTTGTGGACGATGGAACGCACGTGCTTGACCCAGACGATGGAGACGAACACGAACAGCTGCAGCACGCAGCCACACATGATGGCGATGATGATGGTGGTGATGGCGATGGTGATGGTGATGGTGATGGCGATGGTGATGGTGATCGTGGCGCACTGTGTGCGTGCTCTTGCAAAGGCGGTAAGCACAGACGAAGGAAACGACGACAACGCATGAAGAACACCGTGACATCGGCCGCCAACGAGAGCGATGGCAATGAGGCTGATGATGATGATGATGATGATGACGACGACGACGACGACAATGGCAACGATGGTGGTGATGGCGATGGCCGGGGTTGCCATGATGATGACGATGATGATGGTGTTGTGCCTGCGTCTTCACCTGGTGGCCGCTGCTCGAGCGTGGTGAAAGCGTGCGGTGGGGGTGTGTTGCGGGCGGCGTGGGAATTGGAGTATGACACACCGCTTTCGGGCCGTGTGTTCACGGCTCCGTTTGAAACACAGGATAGGCAACGGCTCACGACAGCAGCACATGCGCTTGCACGCACGATCGTACACATGTGCACTGCGACAAAACAGCAAGCGAAAGGCGATGGGATACAGAAGGTTCACGGCAATGACAGCGATGGTGGCAAGGACGAAGATGATAAGGAAGCAGAAGAAAAAGAAAGCGAAGGAATGGAGAGTGGAGGAACCTGTGCACGAGAAGCGGATGATGATGATGAACACACTGGCCGAGCTGCTGTGGTGTGGGAGGCGCTGGAGCCTTCGGGCGTGTTGCGTGCGGGTGTGCTGCCATACCTTGAGCAGCTGCTGCGCACGCTCGGAAAGACGGGCCATGGAGACGGGCGGGATGGGGAGGTGGAGGAGGGAGGAGGAAGTGCCGTCGATCATGGTGGTGGTGATGACGACGACTGCGAGGACACGATCAACAGGCACCAGCTTTGTTGTGATGATGATGATGATGATGACAGCAGTGGTGGTCGTGAGGGAAACAAGGAACGAGCGGCACACGTGCCACCATTTGGTGCTCAGCCACGCCTGCTGTATCGCCAGCAGCCGTCGCTGCGTGTGCACGTCAGTCCGTGGCGCGTGGACGTGTGCATATTGCCTGTTGAGAGCGAGTACCTGTGGCACTGCAACAACCTCAACGCAGCTCACACCATGATGGACCTTGAGCCGTTTCACCGCTTCCGCGTGCGTGTGTACAAGGACATCGTGCTCGACAAAGTGCCGCACATACCATTGTGCACGGCACTCACCCTCCCGCTGCTGCGCATTGGCACCAGCGATGATGATGGCGATGGTGATGGAGATGATGATTGCGATGGTGAAGATGACGGTGTGGGACGGGACGAGGGAGAGATGGTCCATGATGCCGTTGAACAGCAGCAGCAGCAGCAGCAACAACAACAACAACAACAACAACAACAACAACAACAACAACAACAACAACAACAACAACAACAACAACAACAACAACAACAACAACAACAACGGCAGTGCACAGGCACACACACATACGCACAACAACAACAACAACAACAACAACAACAACAACAACAACAACAACAACAACAACAACGGCAGTGCACAGGCACACACACATACGCACAACAACAACAAC